TTTGGTTTAAAATATGGTTTAAGGAAGCAACTTTTGGTAAGTCTGATCTAATGCATGCTTTGCTGTTCCAGCATTAAACCATTGGTAATTATCGTCTTATTTTCACATAGCAGTGCTCTCCCAAAATGTTTTTTTCTTTTTCTAAATAAGGGTTAATTTCTTTTGGTTAAATTATGTTAATTTATAGTGTTACGGCAACATTTTATTTAAATAGAAACAGGGGCGGAGCTAGATGGGGGGCCAGAGGTGGCCATGGCCACCCTTAGCCAATCATTGGCCACCCCTACAATTTTTATCCTTCTAATACAGATGGTGGCAGCAGTAATACTCTGAAGGGGAATGTTCAAACTTTTTAAACATTTCATATATTAACACCTACTTGATAACAGATTATTCACATCAATATGCAAACATTAAATATGCTCTTTTCAGAACTAAGTTTTGAATTATTTGGGGTAAAGTTAAAATGATGTGCCTCTGCAAGTCATCTAGGAGTCTTCAGTGAAATCATAGATAAATAACTACTTTAATAATAACATATAAAAATTAATTAAATGTAGATATTAGTAGATTTAAATATATTTTTTTTGCAGAATGATTATTGATAAAAGTAGGTAATGACAATTGAAATATGTTCGCCCCAGATCTCAAACCTGAAAGAATTTTGTCCACTATTCCTTTTATTTACACAGCATAGATGTTTAAATATATGCGTCTATTTCTTAGCAAAGACCGCAGGGAAGTATAGTTTGTCTTTCATTTAGGAAATATGGATCTTGTGCTTGTTCCTGTTGGAACAGTGTAGATTGACCCTGAGGTTCTGGTGCCTTTTGGCCACCCCTCAGTGTACATTGGTTATTGACTGGCCACCCCTATTAGGATTTTCTGGCTGTGCCTCCTAATATAAACCCTGAAACAATTGATATTGTTGATTAAAAAAATCTGTCTAGATACTTTAACTTACTATTATATGCAGTTGGGTTTAATATATAATTTTGATATAAACTTCAATTCAAAGTGAAGGAATCAACAATGTTGTGTTGATTTATTTATTTATTTTTGCCTAGTGTCAGAGTACTCCTGAACTTACGACTACTTTAACCCAGGGCTGGGTGATAAATCAGTTTTATTAATTAATACAATTTGAGGTTTATTAAGATTCTATTATTAGGGAATTTGGGATTGGGAGGGGTTGGTCGGGGAACTGACAAACAGGCAAGTTTGAAAAAGTAGTTTTTGTCATTAATTAAGTTAAAATGAGAAAAGATTTGATTTTAAAAGTTGAAATATTGCACTTTAAAGCCATATCCTAGGATATTTTGGTCTTTTGAAAACATTTTAAAACTGAGGTTATCACCAAGAATTATGAGGTGTAATGGTAATTTTTGGACACAGTCACAATTTATGATATTTTATGAAAATTATACACCAATATCAAAACCTTATGGAGGACCAACTCTGACATAATTCAAAATAAATACATAAATTTATAAATATTCAATAAATACGTCTATAATGAAATGGGCCTTAATGATAAATGTATGCAGTAATTAAATTATACAATGAGGGAAAAAAGTATAAACATATTTGAATTAGATTGTTTATTCATTCATCTTTGTAATAACTAATGTATCATTGTTATACCATATAATACCCATATCATTTTCATTTTTAGCTGTACTTTTTGTGTGTATGTGTATTCTACTTCATGCATTTCTTCCTCTCAAAAATGAAAGGGTGCTAAAACAAGCCATACATGTAGAGAAGCGGCAAGTAAACTATGTTGGCAGATATCAGGTCATTTTCTCTTCCCCTAATTAAAAAAAAAAGAAACATCCATTACTGGAACTTAGCTTTCCGACTTTATCCCTATTTGAAGTTCTTATTTAATGCATCTTTTTTTTTGGTCAAACTGCAGTTGTCAGGATGAACATATCTCTGCAGCAGAGGGTCCCTTAGCCAGCGGTCACCACAGCTGGTCCAAACCTTCAAAGACATGGTCTATTTCTCACAATGACTCCCAGCAGGCAGTCAGGTTATCCTCAGTTTCATGCTCTCCCTCACCATCCTGCGCGCGTTCTCCTTGAATTGTGTTTACTGGACGCTCCAATAATTCCCCTCGGACATCCTTTGGGAAAGCATGGCCACCTCAAAAACATCCACCTCTTGGCAGTCTAAATGAAGGAACATTGGTAGTGCAGAATTTGCTGCGCATTACATAGTCAAGGTAAGCCTACTGTTTGGAGATGGACTCCATCACATGGGCATCGGTGAACAGCAGCCACGCCATGTAGCGTTGCCATCCTGCTCCACCCAAAACATATGAACCAGCTCCACAAAGGCCCCCTCTCTTCTTTCCACGGTTCTGGTCACACAGTGAATGGGCTCGAAAGCATTAGCAATGGGATTTGGATGCCGAAGTGGCTTTTCAGCTTTGTAATCAATCATACCGAATTTCTTGAGTGTTTTACGGTTGTGAGATATCGCTGGTATTACCAATGGATTCAACTGGCAGCAACAGAACCAATCCCATGATGTAATTGCTTAGAGTACTACAAGATGAGGCCCCCTTGCCACAAAACTATGAACAATGCCTCGCTTTTTTAATTTATATGTTGATATTTATAATATAATTATTGATAACAGTAAGACACAATCTTGTAAATTAAGTTAGTTTGGTTCACCATTTCATTTCCACCTGAAGAGGACAGCTTATGCCTATTTGTTGCTTAGTCTGCATTGAATCATGCTACCAGGCCACCCACAGGTACAACAAAGATGGCCACCTACAATGTGGCAGTTAGCTGAGCTGAGCCATTTAGCACAGTGATGGAATACCTGACTTTATTTGTTCAGTGGATGCTCTGACAGAACATGTTTCTGTTATCTTCAAGTGGACAACTTTAGTTGCATGTTATCCTTCATCATCTCCAACAGCAACTGTAGTCCTTTTAAACCATTTTTTTCTTTGTGATTTGACAAAACTGACAGGACATTGAGGCTCATTGCCTTGGTTAAGCATTGATATTGAAATAATCTAGAACGCCACAGATCACGCTGTTCCACACACAATCGTATGCCATACACTGTTGAATGGATCCTAACCTTTCAAATTCTTTCAAATATTTTTTTATCTGAGTCAACTTGAAGTAAAATGTTTTTTTCTTTATTTTATTTATGTATTTCTTACCTTGATGCTGTGCCCCTGTTTGTGTTTGGATTGAACAGCAATTACTTTTTCCTTGATAGCAGGCTGTTTTGAGGGTTCACTAGAACTCAGAGTTCTGTAGATTGGTTTACGTATTTAATTATTATCGGCTTGTCCTCAACCATTGCAAGCTGTTGCTTTACCATCAGGCATTGCAGGACGATCAGGTCAGCTGTGTACTGTAACTGCATCAGTTGTTGCCATCTAGCTGTCTAATAGTTGGGCAGATTACATCTATTTATGTCGGCTCATCACATTGGGTACTAACATTCTATTTAGCCTCGAAAAGGAATATTTAAACACTATGAGGACAGATGCTTGGTGTATATAACCTTATTTTGTCATGACCAAATTATTTTTTGTATATGCATATGGCATGGCTGTGTCCCTTTAAACAGTGGTACATAAACTGAGTGGAGTTGAATTCTGTTGACTAAATAGGTACACAGACCTATAATGCTGCAGGCAACAGGAGGACTCACTCAGGTAGTTCACAACAAAATGGTTGTGATTTATGTTAAGAATTTAAAGAAAATAAGAATTATGAATTTATACAAAAAATTGGTCTGCTAATGATAATAATGCCAGCAGATTACAACAGCCAGCCACAGCATCAAAACCATGTTTATTCATTGCACAAATCTAGTTTAGTGGTTTTCTCCAGAAAGGAGACAAGCAGTACTGGACATGAACTTTTTTGCTCAATTGGTCACTGTAGCTAGTAGATCAAGTGCCAGGGTGCACTTTGTCTGGCCTAAAGAGAAAAGCAACATTTCTTGCAACATTTAAACACTTTTTATAAGCTCTACACAAGCTTTGTCGAAGCTGCTACTGACACATTAGACCAAGTGTCGCGTCCATGTAAAGAAAATATAAAAGAGAGATCTCAAGGATAACGGTAACAACACCTTCAAATAATGGACGAATGGAGTGCACCATTCTGGCTCCATTCAGTAGTTGTAATTTCTGCTGTTG